ATTGAGAGGGACAAAACAATTTGCTTTAAAGCATAGTTTTGGAAAAAGTAGATGTTGAGTTTTTTTGTTTTTGTTTTTTAATGATACATTTTCCCATGTCCCATCCCAGACCTCATAAAAGAGAATATCTGGTCCTAGAAAACTGGAATCTGTATTTTTAATAAATTCCCTGATACTTCTTATCCAGGTGGTCTTCCACAGGCTGATGAAACACTAAAGAAACATCGTCTTTAAGTAAGAAAGATGACCTGGAGACAAAGCCCCTTTATATTATATAATGTTGATGCTTAAGGAATTCTAAGGTTCTGGTCAGCCCCTGTATTTTTCAATCAGTGAAACCTCTGAAAAGCAAGTTGCTTTGCCTGAAGCACTTTACGTCACCCTGGCTAGTCTCAGACAAGAGCTGGCCTCAGCGGATCTGTTCTCAGGGTACCACTGGCCTTTGCCCCAGGCCCAGCCCCAGCCCCAGCCCCACTATAAGCAGCAATGAGCCACAGGGACAGTCAAGAAGCAAGTTGAGAATAATTACTCTTAGAGCATTACAAAATCCAGTTTTTTAGTCAATGGCTTGGACCTGAGTTTGTAACTGTTAGAAAGTTATAAACAAACATAAAGCCAGAAGCAGACAATAATTCCCCAAGTCACCTCTGTCTGATGCATTATTTATAAAGTAGGAAATGTATTTTGTGCATTTTTTTCCCTACGTGGACATTCAATAAAGCCACAAGGCAGGGCCCTCCCTGGTGGCGCAGCGGGTTAAAGCACAGCACTGAGAATCTAAAGCCGCTTCTGCATGAGTTCAATTCCCGCCTGCCCTGGAGGTGACCATATGGTGTGCAGACCTCTCCTGACCCGCCCGCTGCTCCCCTCAGCAGTGTACTTTGTCAATCTGCCTGTTCTGCTCCCCACTCTGTCTCTGGTGAAGCCTCTCACCGCCCCTGAACCTCTGGCCTGTACCCCAGTTCTGTATGCACAAATAAATAAAACTTAAAAACAAACAAACAAAAATAAATAAATAAATAAACCACAAGGCAAACAGAGCAATTCCTAGCAGTCCGTTTCCCAACAGTGTCAGGCTCACGTCACACACGGACTCACTGCCCTGCTTTCCCCTCTCCTAGGCTGCAGGTTTCCAGACCTTACTCCCGTCTGGAATATTTCCAAGTACTGCCAGGCAGCAAAAACCCTCAGACAGGAAAGGAAGTAGGGGTCATCTGGTGTGGCCTCCTTATTTGACTGGAAGAAAAGGAAAGCCGAGAGAGGAAAGTCATGTGCTGGTAGCGACCAGCAAGATGGGAAAGCTGAGCTGAGGGCAGTGGCGGCCCACACAGAGATCCTGCGACCCCAGGAGCTATGTAACTTCGTGCACTACGTTCCTGGGGAAAAGGTCTTTGGGTCTTCATGACATTCGCCAAGAGGTCCATGCCCTCAGTTAAGAGCCACTTTCCAGCAGTGTCTGCACCCCACCACCCACGACTCTCCACTGTCCACCCCAGCACGTTACCTGAATTCCCGCTGCGCCCTCCCACCTGCCCTGCTGGCTCTGTTTCCATGTTGCTGCTGCCAGAGGGCTCGTTCTAAAGTGCAAACCTACCACATGGCGCCCCTGCCTCTACACCCCCAAGGGGCATCCGGATAAAAACCTAAACTGAGTATATCACACACGCCATGTTAGCGGCGGGCTCTTTCTCTCTAGCCTCAAAATTCTTTCTTCTGCTGCTTTTATCAGCAGCATGAAGACAGGCGCTTCGGAAGTGGGGTTTGCTTGGTTTTGCTTGCCTTTTTACTTTTATGTACTTTTCTCCATCGTCCCTACTTATATTTTCTTTGATCCTTTCTCCTTTGCTCCCCTCCTGATCTCAGAAATATTTCTTTGCTTATTAATGTCTGCTAGTTTTTATAAATATTTTTACTTTGCCAAATCCTCCACAGTATAAACGCATAGTCCTCGCCGTTGTCAGTCTGAGTTGTTTTACCACTCGGTTCCCTCACACTCAGTCCAGAGTTTTGTGGTAGGGAACCTGCCCTTAGACCAGTTCCCCAGGCTAAATGTCTCCTGCAGTGTCTAGCCAGCCGCAATCTCTAGGCTGTGCCTAAAGTGCCGAGTGAGGATGGTAGGTGAGACAGGGCCACAGGTCAGCAATTGTCCTGTTTGCTTTTCCACAACAGAGCTTTCCCCGGGTGCTCACTCCTACTGTTAAGGTCGAGATGAGAAATCATGGTTAGTTTCTGTGTCATTTTGATGTGGGGTGGGGGTAAAAGCTGTATCACAACCTCAGGCTGCCAACAACAACCTCCTGCATGAGGAGTCACGGGACGTCGGACTGCTCCCCCCAGAAGTTCAGGCTCCAGCTGAGATTCGGAAACTCGGGCTCAAGCTCTTAACTCTGAACCCCTCACTGTGTCTGTTGCTCCCCGGCAGTGCACCCCGTGTCCCGAATGCCAACTCTGTGCACCTTTTACTTACCCAGCATAACGCCAACCCCCGGGGGGGTGCATGGCCGAGTCAGTGACTGTGGGGGCTCTCCAGAGCAGCTGTCCCTCCCTCTCATGAGTGGCACTGCTCTAGCATTGCTGTGAATAGTTAGAGAAGTTTCCTCTTTCCTTTCTGCCAGACTTTTGCTCCTGATGTAAGCCGTAGTCCTCTATCTGCTTGTCTGGCATGGTGTACTGACTAGCTCTGCTGCAGCTCAGCTGTGACTATACAGAGGAGGTGAGCCTGGCACCTGCTCTCTGTGGCCACCTTTCAGACTCCCTGCAGGAAGGGAATGTGAACCTACATGTGTTTGGCAGCAAAGCACTGGGTCACTATATGAAAAAACTGTGTCTCATGGCAGTGAGGAAGGCCCTGCCTCTCTGCGTGCCCCTTGCTACAATCATGTGTCCTTTCACCATGTCTGCATTCCTCACAGACCACAGGAATGACTGGGTTCCCAGTAGTCTATACCACATAGTCTAGGTGGGCAACAGGCTAGCCCATCTGGGTTTGTGCAAGTCCATGCTACTGACCCTGGCACAAAGACAAAATCACCAAGACGCAGCTCTGAGACCATATGCCCTTTACACCGCGCATGACTGTATGCACACGTTTGGCACTTTATCTTAAACTCACTGGAGACCCAGCGACTCTGACCATATACACAAGTTCCCTGTAGGGCTGGGAGTCTGGGGTGATTTATTCAATATTCTAATATTTAGAACTCAGCTGTGATGTCTTAAATATAGAGTTTGCCACACTATGCCCAGCGCTCAGATAAAGGCAAGAATAAAGTAGTTTCCGATTATTCACCAATGGGAAAGTCTGAGTCAAAACCAAAATGAAATACCAGTTCACAGCCACTAACTGTGATAAAAGGTAGTTAATAAGCAAGCATTGGCAAGAGTGTACAGAAAATCAAAATTGTTGCTATGAGAATTTAAATTGTTCTTTCGGAAAGCAGTCTATCAGTTCCTCAAATAATTACGCTAGACTTACCATGACTCAGCAATCCCACGCCTGGATATTTACTCATAAAAAGGAAAATGCCTGTCCATGCAAACACTGCACATAAATGTTCATAGCAGCATCATTCCGGATAACCAAAAAGTAGGAACAACCCAGATGTCCAACTGCTGATAAATAAACAGGTGTGGTCTATCCATAGAATATCATTGAATATTATTCAGTGGAATAAAATATTGAAACATATTACATCACAAATGAACCTGGACAACATGCTAAGGGAAAAGACCAAACACAAAAGGCCACATATTGCACAGCTCAGTCTAGATGAAATGCCCAAAATAAGAAAATCTATAGGAATAGAAAGTGTATTACCAGTGGCCCAGGCCTGGGGTCAGGGTGTGTGTGCTGGGGAAAGGCTGTGGAGCGACCGCTAATGGAGATGCAATTTCTTTTGAGGTGATAAAAATATTAAAAGTGATTGTGATAATGTTACACAACTCCATAAATATCCAAAAACCACTTAACCAGACACTTTAGGTGGGTCAGTCACACAGCATGTAATCATATCTCCACACGGCGACTATAAAAACAAAGCACAGTGCCCTCTCGCAACAAACCCTAGTCTAGACGCCTCCCGGGTAACTCTCGAGTCATCTACTTGCCCTAGTTTGTCCCAGGACTCTGCCAAATGTAGTACAAAAGTCTTAGACCCAGGGAGACCCCGCGATCTGAGAAAGCAGGATGGTCGGTCTACTAGAATTCTCTCCCGGGCACCCCAGCAGGGACTGTATGGGCAGAGACGCAGCGAACTGCCCACTGGCAGGCTCTGGCACTGACAGCAGCTGCTGAGTAAGTGCTCCAGAGAGAAGGGGAGAGGTGAGCAGATAAACCCCTCAGGTGGGAGTGCAGGGGCCCTCCTTCACCAGCTGACAGGGCTGACTCGGCAAGAGGCTGGGTCCTTCCAGTCAGTTTGTGGCCAAAGAGGAAAGTGGCACCCCACAGCAGCCCCGCTCCCCCGTGGGGACTGGAGTAACAGAGTGGAGCTGGTGCCCACTCTGGCTCCTGATTTCTCAAGCTCACGTGGCACTTTAATGCCCGCTTTGCTCTCTCGCAGTAGAGCCCTAGCGTGCTCTACCATTCAGCCTTCCCAGGGGACTTCCCTCCCACCCAAAGTGCCTCCCCATGCTGCAGTTCCAAGTGGCCAGGCCAAGCGCCTGGGGGGAAAGCTTGCCAGCGAGCAGAGCTGGGAAGCCTAATGATGCTTGGTCTTTCTAAAGCACTTGTAACCATCTCCCATTTCTACAACCCAATTTCAAACAGGGCAAATTGTCCAGCCCAACCCGGTTGCTTCTAAGCATCCCTAAAAGCTGGTGAAAGAGGACAGCTGGACTGTTTCCTTGGCTATAGAGTACTGGCCACTGGCCAGGGTGTTCCCTCCCCTGCTTCCTTATCCTGACCTCTCTGCCCAAGAGAGGAGGCGCCTCTCCCAATGCCCACAACCACTTTGTCTCCCCCTCCCCCACCATAAAGCAACTAGGCCATTTTCACGACTCACCCCTCACTGTCTTGCATCTGCTGCAGGTAATTCCCTCCAAGCAGGCTCTGGTACAGTAGGGGGCAGACGGCATTTATGCTGGGTCTACTCTGAAAGAGACATTACAGTGTGTGTTTTAAAATGGTTCATCATCTACTCTCCACACAGTAATCACAATATTATAAATCACAAGGCAGATCATGTCATATCCCTGCTTTCCTCCACCTCTAGAATAAAACCCTAAGTTCCCTCCCAGACCCGGCAAGGCCCAGCAGGACCCCAGCCCTGGCTGCTCCTCCAACCTCAGGTCTGATGCCCTTCCGTCCCCTCACCCAGATAGCCTGGCCTCCACGCTCTCCCCTGAGTACGAGGCAAGCTCTCGCTTCAGGGCCTGTGTCTGTGTCACCTCTTTGACTCAGAATAGTGTTCCCCAGATAGTACTATTGTTAAGGGGAAGGATGTCCTAAAGGAACTCTGCAGAGTCTTTGGGACTCCACCCTCTACTCCAGCTTTCTGGACCCTACACCCTACTCCAGTGATTGGAAACTACAATTCCCAGCAGTACCAGGGAGAGAACTGCAGGACCCCAGGGCGGAGCTAGCAGGAATTCTGGGACATTTGGGGGATAAATAGGGCGCGATTGCATCTCAGGAAGCATCTCTGGCTCGGGAAACAGCTCTCCGGACTGCGTGATTTGGTGTGTTCAGTCAGCCTAGCCGTAAGGTATTCCATTTACTTTGTATCCCGCTCTCTTTCCCTGGGTTGTTTCCTATTTGTTTCCCCTTTTGTAAATAAACCCGTTATTGACCCTTTTGTGTTACCTGTGGTATAACCGAATTGTGAGCGTGCAGGTAAGGGCCCCACAGACAGGCGGCCCAGTCCACTCTGGGCTACCCTGTAACACTATGTCTCTCTCCCTCACTTCCTTGAAGCCTTACTTAAATGTCATCTCCTTAAAGGGGCTTCCATGATGAGCCTATTATTTGTCTTCATTGCTTTCACTATTAAATATCTGCTTATTTGTCTAACTTCCCCTAGTAGGTCATAACATCAGTGAAAGGGGGAACACTGTCTATCCTGTTTACTGCTGCGTCCCCAGGGCCGAGAATAATGCCTGGTGTGAATGGGCCTTCAAATCCCATTCATTAAATGACCACTGTTACTCACTCTCCTATATGTGCCTCTTCTTCACAGAGAAGGAAATTGAGGTGGATAAAGATTATGTTACTAGTCCAAAAGCATGTAGCTGGTAAGTGGCAGATATAGAACGTGAACCGAAATCTCTGAAGCCAAACCCTATGTTCTTTTAATTATACCACAGCACCTCACTTCTGAAACAGTCCTTTGTGGAACTGTGTAGGCAGGAAGCTTAAAAAGGGAAGAGACTCCTTAAAGAAAGAAGGAACCTGCCGCCCTCCTTCTCCACCTCCAACTCTCAGCTGATGTTTTGTGACATTGAAGCTGGGGCAATACCAGCTAGAGATATCTCTTGATTGCAGGGCGAGAGTGCGGTGTTCAGCAGTCTCGCCCTAGAACTGAAGTTGCTGGTAGGAATAAAAATAGGCTTGCGAATTTCAACCATACCAATTAGGACTTACATCCCTTTGGGGAGGAGGCTTGAAAGTAATGGAGAAATGAGCCAAACTTTAAACCTCACAGCCCCCAAAAGTCAATTCATGGCCTAGTACAAAGCTTCAAAGAAATTCTCGAAAATCACTCAGCTTTTTTATTACATAGAGCAGTGAACATTATGTGGGTGTTTCACAGAAGAGTCAAGTATTGGAAGTGTAACAATCTCAGAGTTAAACTAGACCAGAAACAAGCAAACTTCTGTGAAGGACTGAGGGGGTAGTTACTATTTTGGGCTTGTGACTGACCCCCACATCCGCAACTATTTAACTCTGCTGTTCTAACACCAAAGCAGCAGGTGTAATGAAATGAGCATGGCTGTGCTCGGATACAACTTTATTCATAGAAAAGATCGCAGGCTAGTTTTGGACCACAGGCTGCCTTCCCCAGCTTTTTATCTAGGCCAATGTGCTTCTGTGACAGAAGCAGAAACAAAGACAGAGATGAAGTGACTGCTCCAGGCAGTTATAAAAGAGGAGAAAGAGTTGGAAAAGTCACTCAGTACTTGGGCAACAATACCTAAGCATGATGGCCCTATCAGGCTACTTTAAACAAAGGAGAGGCAAAGGTAAAGAAAACAGAAGAGCTCCCTGCTCTTTCAGACTTCACGTTCTCATGTGGGTGTCACAGTAAACCCGGCAACACTGATCTAAGTGCTGGGAATGCCGTGGAAACAGGCTGATGAGGCAGGGCAGTCGGGAGCCTGGGCAGGTGCAGGGGGGACGGCACAAGGGGTCTCAGGGACGACAGCTGCACCAAGACTGAACTAAGAGCCAGGTGACCTCCATCGGAAGATGACATCTCAACTGTCATTTCATCTTTGCAAACTTTTGTCACCGATGGGGAAATTGGGGCTGGTGGCTGACAAACGCTCCACAGTGGCCCAGGCTTTCCCAGCCTGTCCTGCCTGGCTCCAGAGGCTGGACACTGTCCTCACCCTGGTAGTTTTTCTGTCACATCACACTCAAATGACACAAGAATCCCCTCAGGAATTTAAAACATCTCAGTCTAAGCAGATTGGCTCAGAAGCTGACTGTGGATTAAAATCAGTACAGCACTGAAAACTGCTTTGATGACCTGATGCTTGAAATTAAATGCATTTTGCACTTCAAAAGTTAAACTGATACTTGTTTAGTTTTGCATATTTCATCTCTAAGAAGCTAGGAGAGGCATTTCCAGGCCTCACTTTTCAAGCATCTCTGCAAACAAAATTTTCATGAATAATATTTATTTCAAACAAATAAAAAGCCAAATGAAATGCACTTTTTTTCATTTTAATATTGGTTTGTGAAGTACTACAGACTCTCGAAGTGCTAGAGCAGAATTTTGATTAGCTAAACGCAGATGGTTGATTTGATCAAGATGATCAGGAGGCAAGTAATTCCAATTGTTGTTATAAACCCCAACACAACTATTTTTTATGCTTCCCGTCTTCAACCCACAGTCCCTCAGGGGTAAGATCAAACAAAAGGTGGCTGCTGGCAGGAATGGGCTTCTCCATGTGGCGTGCTGGCCCCCACCAGCGTGGTGAACAGGGTTGAGCTAAAGGACAGACCACTGCACACACCTGCACCAGGCACACCTCACACTCCTGCTGCTCTTGGGGTGAGGGGAGGGGAGAATGTTTCAGTACTCATTCTGCTCCTTGAGTGTCGGGAGACAGAGCTCTTCAATGCATTTACTGAAAACGCCCAGGCCCCTGACCGAGGAAAAGGGTGCAGAGAGTGAAACTCCTAGGCAGAAAATCCCAAGGGGGACCCCTCTCTCAGGGCCCACCCTGTGCCTGCACCATCTTCTGATGGGCATCCTCCCTACCTCACTCAACTCCACGACCTCTCCTTAGACACAGCAACCCAACCTTCGTATAAATCCTCAGTGACTCATTCAGCAGTTTCCTCTAACTCCTCAAACCCCAGGCCAGCACTGAATCTCACTCACAGGTCCAGCAGTACCGGTGGGTACAAATGTGCAGTAGTGTTCCTCAGGGCTTGCTTCTGCCGTGAGCATCTCCCAGTGTTGCTTTAACTTTGTGATGCCTTCAGCGTGGTGAAAACATTTTCTTTTTTTCATGAAATTCTTTTGCTTTCTTTTCTCAGAAAGAAGGGGACCTACAGGAGGAAAACACAAAACAGACATCACTGGTGGCTGGAATTCCCCCAATGACCACAACCGGTTTAAACTTATGGCATTCTTGAGCCAGCAGAGGTTCCTAGAGGTCATTTGGCCCAGGCCCCCACTCCCAACTATATGATGGCATCATCAGGCTGAGAGCAGAAGCCTGCAGCATTTGCACAGCCAAGGTGCAGCTCCCTTACTATGGAACACTGGCAAGTCTGTCACCTACCCCAGGCCATACAGAAACCATCACCTAACCCAGGCGTCCCCTTTAGTGGGCTCCTTCTCTTGTTTGGGTGCTCAGCTTAGAGCTGGCTAAAGGAATTTACATAATTTAATAAAAACATCTTGAGCATTTGAAAAGGAAAGTATTCGTTTAAAGTCTCTAGGAGAAGCCAACCTTAGCAATCCCTTCCTTACTCTGTATATGTCAACCACATGGAAAATTCCATCCTTCCTTCTAATTCCCCTCCTAAGCACACTATTGCACATCTTATGTTCCTTCTGGAAAATGATAAAGCCACACTCAAATCCTGACGCCACCAATATTAAATCTGTGATCTTGGACAAGTCACCTAACCTCTCTGAGTACCTGTTTTCCTTCTCTGTAAAATTAGAATATGACATTAACCTCAAAAATCTGTCACAAGGGCTAAGCAAAGTACAAGGAAAGCATATGGCGCATTGACTGTCTCAAGTAATGGTACAGTTAAGAAACAGTTTGATTATAAAAACAGATCTTCGGAGTTTCTAAAGACCCACTTGGTCTCCTTGTCATTCTCCAGAATCAACATTCCTGTTACCTCTTGCTGCTCCCAATTTTCCAACCCCTGTTTTTCAAGCTAGCATTCTCAAACACTTTGGGGTCCTTAACCTTACTGAGAATTCAGTGGAAAGTTCAGACTCGTTCTTCTGGAAAGTTCACCCAGCAAAATTCTGGACACAATTTCCAAAGACTCAGAAAACTCTTTAAGCCCTTTCACATCCTCCAGCCCAGAAAGCTCATGGACCCCAGAGGAATTTTGAAAATTTCTCTTCTGATCCCACCACCTCACAAAAGCACCCCAGTCCTTTCAAACAGGTGTGGGTTACTGGAAAGGACCTACCTAATCTGAGGTGACTTCAGCTACAAATTACCAGCAGGCCCAGGGATCTAGAGGAGCTTGGGATTTGGAGAGGAAGGATCAAGTTAAGGAGAAATGCACATCAGCACAGCCTGAGTCCCGCACAACAAAGGCCCAATTACCACCTCAGGTTTTCCAAATGTCAGAGCCAGTTTATCAGAAGTCTTTTTCAGCTGAGAGACATTAATAGCATGGGGGGGGGGGCAGCTGAGTTGAACTGGAGGCTGGCCAAGGAGGCATCAGGGCTCACAATTACAGGTCCTTAACCATCTGCAGAGAGCTCGCTGGGGGGTCGAGGCAATGCCCCCCAAAACCCAAATGGTAAGATCCCTGTCCTGCACAAAAACACCGTAGGGAACAGGCTGTCACCATCTTTAGCCACAACCACAGTGAGTTTCACTCATTGGGATCCCTAATTGCCCATTTTGTGAGTTCAGACAGGAATTCAGCTAGAGGACCCAAACCCGCCCCCACCAGAGGTGTCTGAAGTCTGCTACCTGAGTGGGCATCCAGCCCTCCTTCACTGCTGCTTTGTTCATCGACAGACCTTAGGAGGTCATTTAACCTTTCTGAGCACATTTAACAGGCCATTTAACCTTTCTGTATAAATCTGGATAACTCCCCCTCTTGGGGTTGCAGTGAGCTTTAAGTGAGTTGATACAAGGGCCCAGACTTGATAAGGCCTCACTGAATGGCAGCTGGAATTACTACAGTATATTATAATACTATTTAATGTACTACGAGACCACTGCTGGTGTAGTTGGCAACAGGCACTGAGGTTCACACAGGACTGAAGGGAGAAGAAATCATTTCAGACCACTGGCCTCTCCATTTCCCATGAACTTTGGCGATGCTCTTTATTCCTGCAGACTTCTGTGAAGCTCCCTCTTGCAGGGAGTATTTAGTGTGGTTGAGAGAATAGCTTCCCTCTCAAGACTATTTTTGAGAGGAAATTCAGTTTTTGTTCAGTCAGACTGGCCTTTGCCCTAGTTAGGCCTAATTAGTGAGATTCGTCCACAGGACAAGCAGACTCAATTGACGGACAGCCTGTGAGCTAGAAGCTTCACAGCTATTTTACTTAAGTGTCACAACCTGGCAATGTAGGTGCTATTATCCTCATTATAAATGAGCTGTCTAAGAGAGGTCTAGGAAATGCTCTTTCGGTTTACGATCACAAATAGGTCTCTAGGATTTCAACTCGTCACCACAATTCTCCAACAAACTGCCACAGTCTGTTTTTCTCAAAGTCTCCTTCCACAGACAGCACTAGCAATAGCTGGAGGGAGCACAGGCCTCCCACAACAGCGGTATAAGGGGGCTGAGGACCAAGGAAGAGGACGGCGCTCTAGCTCAGTAGTCTTACTAAAAAGAAACTGTCCTGGCACTTCTAAGCCTGCCAGCGAAGACTACTTCAGGTAGCAGGAGAGACTGAACTCAAATTGGAACATAATAGGGGCAAGAGGAGATTTACAGCCCACACAGGAAGGTCAGGGAGGGAAGAGGGACATTTACTGCAAGGCATCGCGGCCAATATGGGGGCAGAAAAGTTGACTATCACCCGTAGGGCACTGGAAACACTGGCTGTCAGTGGGCTGGGGGGAGGAGGGTCTCCCTGAGCTGACTCAGCAGACCAAGGACAGAAGCAAAGATGGACTAATTGAATAGAGGATTCCAAGGCACTTGACTAATGTTTTCCAAGGTGCGAGTCCTTGTCAGACTAACATGATGGATTGCACACATGGCCATAGTTCTCCTCCAGAATCTGTAGCTTGTATAGTGTGCCTCTGTAGCAATTCCTACCAAGCGGCAGAATCTAGAGCTCACCCTTTATGTTGCACATGGTCTTAAATATGATTTTCCTCAGCCATTAGAACATGTTGGAAGCAACACAGTGCCAAATCTCAGCCTAGCACTCTCCTCCCGTAGGTACCTAGGCTAGCCTTAGGGAGGGCAAGAGCGACAGGACCCTGCCCCCCATACCCCACCACCTGCTCCTGCAGCATCCCCAGGAACCAGACCCACTCCTTTGTTCTGCAACCGATGGAGGACACATGAGTAAGCCCGGCCACGACCGACGACATGCCCAGCAGATCCCAATCCTAAGTGCTAGCCTATGGAATCGAATTGTCAGCCCGAAAGAAAAAAAGGGGGTTACTGCTTTAGCCACTAAATTTGGGGGCTTTCCTTTGTTAGGAAGCAAGTAACTGATGGTCTCAAACAGATCCACAAACTGAAATCAACTGAAGAGCTATAAAAAAAACACTGGCGCCTGGGTCTTTCCCTGCTCATTAGTTTGGTCGTAAAAGTTCCCTGAATAGTTCTAATGTGTGGTCAGGATTGCACTGTCTTCCCATCTGAATGGTGAGGGGTGTTATTAGACAGTCTCAGAGGTCCCTTCCTGTGTTGAGTTTCTAATCAGCAAAGCACAGATGGATGGGAGGCAGCGAGGACTTTCCCAGCCTTCAGCCTACAAGGAGAACCACCAGCAAAGTGTGAGGCAAATGCAAAACGGTGGCCTAGTCCTGACAGGAGCCTGTGTAGAGTAAGTGGAAATAAAGGAGCTGAGAGTTGGTAAGCAAGGAGGGCTTCCTGGGGGAAAAGCCCTGGGTGGGTCTTAGAACAATTGTTGGCTGAGGAGCCTAACAGCAAGCCTGCTGTGTCAGGTCTGGACACCAGACAGGCTTAGCTTACACAGTATGCACATAAGGTTTTTGCGCTCTCCCCCCCCCCTCAGCTACATTATAAAGAATTCCTTTTCTTTTGCCATTATGCAAATCACCTTAGTATCTATTGATTGCATTTGCATGTGAAGAGGGCTGCTGTGTTTGGAACTAATGTATTTGCAGGTGCATTTTAATGAATCCTCCTGCAGGAGGATGGTGATTACAGGGGCAGGTATGGAAATATTACTCTTCCCTGCTAATAGAGTTTGGTACTTTTGGGGGCCGCCCCGTGCATTCTGGCGGTGGGATCAGTGAGGCAGGTGGGAGGAGAGCATCACACCCTCCTGTGGGACTGAGCAAGAATTCCTGCTGGCTGCCACCTGAGGCCAGCGAGGCCAGCCGGAATACAGGCAGCTCTTAGCCTGAGAGTCTGGCAGTCAGCCCCAGGTGGCCGTGGAGAAAAGCCCGTTTCTCTTTACACTATTATGTTTTTACTTCAGTGTGTCTTGGCAGAAGTCAAGGAAAAGCTTTCACATCCAGCCTGCATGCTGGCAATAGGCTTGTGGAGCCAAAAGAAAGCCTCGTGGCTGTTTAACCATCACCTTCTCCTTGCAGCTAGAGTTAATAGTATGACTGATTTGCATCCAACATTTCCATTTACTCATTAAACGCTAAAAGCCACAGCACCTCTTGACAGCACTGTCTCTTATAAAGGCTGCAGTCCTTTTGGAAAAACATGTCTCTTCTCATGAAACATCCTAAAACACATTTCACCTAAATACAAAATTTCTGCATACAAAGGAATCAGGGGATTCCTCTCCTGGATGTTTCCAGGAAAATGTGGGAAAAGAGCTAGGGCGTGGGGGGCCCAGAAAGTGAGGCTGACACTCAAGTCCCAGCTGCCCTCATGAACTGTTGCGGAAATAGGGTCTCAGCCTCAGCATTTTAAGTGTTTGTTGCTGTGTGTTTTCCTGTTTATGCTCCCTCCCCCCTTCCCCAATCATTTGCTCAAACCTGCATGTAGAAAGAAATGAGTGAAATGGCCCATTTGCTTGGTCACCTAGTCAGGTGTTCACTCTTCGACTGCACGAGGTCCCTCTCCCAGAAATGCCACAAGGTTTAGTGAGGGTGGCAGCCAGTGGCCTAACTCTGCCCAGGTGTATACAGCTAGTAAAGGGTGCAAGAGCCTCTTTTTCTACAGT